GGTTTAGGGTTTGGGGCTCATAAGGTTTAGGGTTTGGGGTTCATAAGATTTAGGGTGTAGGGTTCATTAGGTTTAGGGTTTAGGGTTTAGGCTTTAGGGTTTAGGGTTGGGAGTTTCGGGCTTAGGATTTAGGGTTTAGGGTTACAGTAGGATTTTCGGTCTCATGCTCAAACTCACTGTTGACGGGAATACGTGAGATGCGGCTGCCATGCTTGAGCAGGGAGTTGTCTGCTCAGTGATGTTCAGTGCGTGTTGCGGGCTGCCCGACTGATCGTTCCTTGAGCTCAACACCGCGAAACTCTAAGGTCGTAGCAGGCTCCGTCGCAAGAACACCTTGCATGCTATTCTTCCGGTGTATGTAAAGCTACGCCCTAAAGCTACCCAGAAATCATGCAGTTGTCCGGCGACAGCCTTCGCTCCTAGCCCATGCCTCGGTGCTCAGCGGAACAGCACGCCACTTCTTTGCAGAGCAGTGTGCCTTGTCGTCTGACATGTATATAATGGCTGCTGGCTTGAAGCTATACCAGTATCTTGTCTAAACCGTAAAGTACCGGGGAAGCGTTCGATGAGAGCCGGAAATCAGGACGGGATACACATGCAGGCGCTGAGGATGTTTTGGACTTGTGCTCGAAAGTCCAACTTGCAATTCATTCATGGGCGCAGTATGAAGTAGATTGTACAAAGATTTCACCGGTTCAACCATGGAAACACTCAGCCAAAGTAATGAAGCTTTCACATCGACTGAATGTCTGACCATCCAGGCATGTGCACAAAGGAGGACGACCAAAGCACACACACACATGCAGAACAGACGCACTCCCGTCCCCCTGCAGCTACCGAAACATTCCAATGAAATTCTCATGCCTATCCCGCAAAGACAAATTGTAACACACAGACACATCCGCGTGCACATGCAGCATCTACGCAGGTGCATCTGGTCCTCTCTGGACACTCTCTCGTGTCAGCAAGTGGCGCAGCTGGTCTTTGCTGTGATTCGACGCCAGCTGTCCAATGCGGAGCCTGAGAGACAGTTGTAACCACAACTTTGAACGTGTCGTTGCAATAAAAGGGCCCCTTACATCCCTAAAGAGCATCCTGTCAAAGAGCCGTGCAAACATGGCGTGGCAAGTTCTGCCACTTTTCATGTATTTGGGGCATTCCTTCAGCAGCTACGGCATGCTTCAGCTTTACGGAGGGCGACGTTGTAATTGGGGCCGGGGTTTTTTTCAAAAGGCAAGCTCAGCAAAAGCCAAGGACGTGACCTTAAACCATGGCGGGTCACCACAAAAAACCGCAAGGAAGAACCGAGCTACAATCTAAGCGATCGCTTTTTGTATTATGCAACATCTGTGGCATAGAAACGCTGTAGAGGATGTGGAAGCTCGAGCCCGACGTCCAGTACGACAACTTGGCTGCTATTTGACAGTAAAAATATTATCTACAAGTATAAAAAAACTAAGTACATAAATACTAAAATAAATAAATAAATAAATATATATATATATATATTTATTTATTTATTTATTTATTTATATATATATATATATCTTGGGAGGAGGAAACCTGGTAGGCTCCCTCTTGGCTGTAAAAGAGTAGATGTGTTGAATTCTTGCAGACGGTATGAATCGACAACCGATGAATGTGGGGTTACCATCTGTATCTGCATGTTGTGCAGGTACGAGTGCGGCACCAAAGTCGAATGTCGAATTCCATGGCAGCTTGTTACGTACGTCAAGAGATATAATGTCATATTGAACAGCAATATATCTTTTAATGGAAAGGCAAGACCATCAATGCGTCACGTTAAGAATAAATGCCAATCCAGGTGGCAACATCAAGTCTTATATTCATGCCATATAGGCATCGAATGCTAGCTCCTTCATTGCTCAACCACAAATACCTCGTGAGTTGCTACTTACGTGATATTTGTGGCTTGTTCATGTACCCCTCTCATATACATAACTGTATATGTATATGTATGTATGTATGTATGTATCTATACGTATATATATATATATATATATATTTATACATGTACTAATACGCTATGTTAATGACGGTACTAAGATGGACGCTTCCCGCCGCACAGCCGAGAAGCAGCGACACGTCCAACATCGAAAGATGCGGAGCGGACGGCGCCGGCCTCTGCTAGTCTCGGGCTTTGATTGCAAGTGCTGCGCTGGAAACAGAACAGGAAACGACCTTGGCTACGGCAGCACTAGAGGCAACTTTTCGTAGGTATTCCCAGGATAATTATAGTAAGGAACCCCCAAAATAGTATTGGTTGCCGTTTTTTCGGACTCAGCTCCCACAAGTAACTTGTGGTAAGAGCATCCCACACCAGTTAGTCTCCAGGGTCGGTTTAGGGTTAGGGTTTGGGGCTAGGGTCCTACGAGTAGCTTGAACGCAGGAAGCTGCAAGCCTTTAACTTCTGACTCCGCAGAGCCACTGAAGCCACACAGTGCACTGCACACTTTGGACTAAAGTTCAACTTCCAGGGATTCGCGTCCACGGTTTAGGGATGTTTAGGGTTTAGGGGCTGCGCAAAAGTGTGGACTGCTGGCTAGATTTTCGGCTAGACATTCCCCGATCAGAGTCTGATCTTTTGCACCAGGTGCTTGTAGTCTTCAGTTTCAGTGCTTATGTGAAGACAATCCCCAAGTTTGTATGTCCAAGCGGCTCCGACAGCCTTTGAAGGACCTTTCGCAGATGCAGGGTATTTACACTACTTGGCTGAGACAAGGTTATGTCGGCACCTTGGACCCTGACCAAACCCTAAGCCTGAATGTTCAGCACGTTTCTCCTGGAACATCAAGTTGCAGCGCCGGCAGAAAGGGGGTACGAGCAAAAGTGCTGGTGTTAGCATTATTATTAGGACAAGCACTACTCGCACTGCTAGCACTAGTGCTGATATGCAAACAAGCGATAGTATTAGTACTTGTGCCAGAGTTCGTGCAGGTGGCAGCAGTCGTATTGGTGACACTAGTACTGTCATGGTAGTAGTAGTTGCAGTAGTAGTA